CCGGCTCCCCCGGGCACCCCGCGCTCCCTCCCGGCTGTGCCCCGGGCAGCGCTCACCCGTGTCCCGGTGCCCTTCGGGTTTCTCTGCCACTCTCCGGGGAAAAACGGCGTTTATTCCGCCCTCTCCCCTCCGGGCCAGGGCTGGCTGCGATGGAGCGGCATAAAAATCAAGAGGAAAAAAAGATTCGGGAAAGGGGAGATGCGCTAAAGCAACGCACTGCAACCAGTGGTATAAGAGACTTCACGTTTTCCCTCTAAAGTCCCAACGGTGTCACAAGGGAAGAGGCCTCGGGGGGTGAAAGCTCAGCAGCGCAGCTTGGCTGCCAAAAGCAGAGAACGGCTCAGGAAACCCAGAACGAGCGCTTCGGGAACATTTTCCGCAGCGCTGTGTGACCTGGCTGGATACGAACAAAACCTGAACTCCTCCACGGAGGGTGTGTGGCTCAGGACCAGGCGCTGTGGATCCAACAGCTCCTCTTGGGCACAGCAGTGGGACCAGGCAGCACAAATCCCCGTGGCTGATCCCCCCCTGGTGCACATCTCAACAGCAGCACCCTGTGCAGAGGGTACAGCTCTGCCTGCTGCTGAGGAGCAGCCAGGAACCAGCGATGGGAAGGGAAAACCAGATGGCTCCTGCTGCCCCACGCTCTGGGCCAATTATCCTCCCTTTCAGGCAAGCAGTGTTCCTGTGGGGTCCAGCATATGCACTAGGAGGAAAGCAATAAACCAACTGTAGCCAGACAAGTGCATAACAAAATATTTAATGTACCTCTTCTCAAAGACAAGCACACGATGTGCTCAGAAACAGCAGCTGCAAAAGATCCACTCAGGCAACATAGCAAAATGCTGCAGAGTTACAGTTCTACATCACAAGAGAAACTTCAACCCCAATCCAAGTATGATCTATTCCAATATTTCAACATTCACTTCTTTTCAAAAATGATGCTGTGCAGCTCTGGATGAGCACCCTGAGAACAGGATTGTCCTAGGAACTCAGTGAGCCCTCGGGCACTGCAGGAAGCAGAACTTGTGTGTCAGTGTTCACCTGCCCGAGGCCAACTCAGTGGAGTTGGACCTATGAACCTCCTCTGAAAGCTTTGCCTGCTAAGGAGCTTTTGGATGTTCTGACGGTAAAAGGCACTAGAAGAAAACAAACACAACTGCTGAGCAGCTTGAGAGGTGAACTGCAGGCAAATCCCTGGTGATAGGATTACCCCTGGGAGAAATCCCAGTGCCCAGAACTGGGCAGAGCCTCACAGTGAGTCACTTCACACTGAAGGGGTGTGTGCAGCTTCCCAGAGCAAATCTGTCCCAGCATATGGGAGCACAACGTGGCTGCAGAGCAATCCCCTCTCCTGCTCCTCTAATTCTAGGAAATACAGCTCCTGGCAGTCTGTGTTTCGCCAGAGCAGCATCAGAAATAGGACCTGTCCTAGTGCTTCACACTAAAGCAGACTCATTCCCAAAGAGAAAACAACATTCCTGTTTCAGGACGTTCCCCCAGCAAAGTGCACGTGAAAAGTCTATGAAGAACAGATGCTGCTGACCAGAGGCAAGTGATGAAGTGACTGTTGGATGCAACTCCTGATATTGTTTAGTTGAGGCTGTCCTGTGTTTCTCCCTCTCACTGGAAGCTCAGGTGCCTGTGTGGGTCTGTAACATCAGTGACTCACTGCCCAAAGGACTGTGTACCAAAGCTCTCCAACCAGAGAGTGACTCTTCCACAGCCTGGGTCAGATGGGCACAACTCAAGCTCCAACTTTGCCAACTGTTGGGTGGAGGCAAGCTCAGTTAATACAGAGGGAGGAAACATATCCCAGAGAGGAAAAGCTGCTCCATACCCTGCAGTGCTGGCCTCTCTGTGGAGCAGCCAAGCTGCATTGTCTGCATCACCCCAACTCCACAGCACAGTCAAGGAACATCATTGTAGCAGAGCACAGAGTTTCCTGTTCTTTCCCACTGCTGAGTTCCCAAGCAGTTTCCTCTATTTTGTGCAGTTTAGCAGCAAATCTTTGACATAAAGTGGAAAACAAGAGTCTTGCAACATTCAGACAGGACGGATGAGTCTCCATTTCCTAAGGAAGCCTAGGTCAGCACTGAACATTTTCTGCTGTGGCCAGTCCTGTCCCTGCTAACTGTGACAGCATTCCATTCCTCTCCCCAGCAGCCAAAAGACAGTAACAAACCCAACCTGTTTGTGTCTGTTTAGAAATGAGACATTTCTCTCCTTCAGAAGGATGTCACGAGGCTGAGTTCATTGCTCCTCATGATGTCTTTCCAAGAATAACAGGTGAACAACAAACAAAGCCAAAACACTGTTAAGAAGATCTTGAGGAATCTCAGAAGAGCCTAAATAACACAGGAAAATGCCAATGGGTTGAGACACTTGGACAAACCTCACTCCACATTCTTTGCATTTCCTCCTCGAAGCAAAACTGCCACTTTTAGAGTAGATGCAGCTAACAGCTCCTCTTTGGGCTGACACATCAGCCTCCTGCCTGGCACTGGCACTGCTCAGTGGATTTAACTCAGTGTAGCTCAGCCACCTGCAGTGAAATGGCCACTTTGCTCTCCAAGATCTCAAACCACAGCAGACACAAAGCTATTTGGCCTGGGCTTGCAAGGAATCTCTCCAGATACCTCACAGCCACCAGTGAAACAGCTGCTCTTTAAAAACAGCCTCTCACAATAGCTCAGGATAAGTGAGCAATGCTGATATGCTCAAAAATCACCAGGAGAAGTTGCGTCAACGGAATGGAATCGGTCACGCTGGAATTTGGCCAGACCATTTGGGATTAACACCCTGAATACTGCAAAAGAGCCTGGAAAAGCTCTGTGTTAAGAGAAGACCCATCAAACCATCCTCTAAATAACTGCAGTGCTGTGCTCTATCCACCCCTAGCAGATGACTAACGTGCCTTTGTGTCACAGGGCTCTTCCCTGGAACTCTGCCTTCCACAGCACAACCACACCCTGCTCAGCAGGGAAAAACAGAATAAAAGTGGAGGAAGAAAGTAATTTTCCTCTTTTCCCTTGTTACGTACATCAGAGCTGGTGGTTGGCTGTTTTGTTGGGTTTTTCAAGCACTCCTAAAACCTCTGAAACTCCAGAGAAACATTTCTCCAGCTCTAATTCAATCATCTTTCCTTGTGAAATATCAGCTAAGCCAACCAGTTCTGGTTTGATGTTCATTCCTTTCAATTCAGCTAATCTTGTCCAAATATTTTCATCTGTTAGCACCACTGGAGGACTGAGGTTCAGAAATGTTTTGAGGTCACCACACAAATACTTGCTAGAAATATTCAAAGCTGCTATTAAATACAAACAAAATAAATAAATAAAATGAAGTAGCTTCCACAGGACTTTCCCTTCATTATTCCAACTTAAATATTTCTTTAACTCCACACAGCATCTGTTTTCTTGCTGCACTGAAGCAAAGAACCCTGAAGTAAGAACTGGGTTTGTGCGCGGAATCCCCTCAGTGGGGCTTTTAATCCTCAGGTTTGCTTGCAAAAAGTGAGTGAGGCAATGCAAACCCCTAAGAGATGCCCAGACACACAGGAAGAGAAATTGGAACTCGGGGTACAATCCAGCTCACTGGATATAAAGGAAGAGCAAGGCTGGGCCAGCAGGATCAGAGAAGACTGTTTAAGGGGGCTGAGAATGCACAGCCAGCAAGAGGTGCCCAAGCAGCAGCAGCTGGCAGCAAGGGAAAGGAAAACTAAGGGTCTGTGCACTAATGTGGTTTTAGCTGACCTCACACCAGCAGGACAGAGTGACCTGTGCAACACTCAGACAAGAATACAGTGCAAACTGCAGGCAGAGAGCAAGGGGATAAAGCTGTGTGGAGGCAGCGCCAGTAAGTGGTGCTTGGCTGGTTAAGCAGCACTAGCTGGGCCAGGAGCCCTCCCTGGGATCCAAGGAGAGCTTTATCAGGTGCCTCCCAGAGCACAGCTGCTGCCAGGGAGTGCTCTGTGGGTTCCTCCTCTCCCCACTGAGTGCTGATATCAGAGGAGACAAAGGGCTCAGTTGAACAGCTTCCTGCAAAGCAGCTCAGTGTCTCCAGCAGAACTGCAGTCACCTTCTCCTTCTGCTTGGTCCCAGGAGGTGATTTCCCACAGGCTGGTGGAGCTCTGGGAGCTCTCACATTCCTACCATGCTTGTGACAGAGCAAAGCCGTCGGTGTCCCCTCCTGAGGAGAACAGCAGGCAGCCACACACGTGTCCCTTTCAGCCTTCCTTCCTCCTGCTGCTGTCAGGGTTCTTCAGGCTGCACAGGAGGCTGCAGAACAGCTCATACCAAAAGAAGATGAGGCCAGTGGAGGAGGCAGCCTTCAGCAAGCTGGGAGAAAGGCCCTTGAAAAATCCACCTGGGCCCTCCTGTCGCATCATCTGCCTCATGCAGTCCAGGAAACCCCTGTATGTCTGTACCTGGGAGAGAAATGGCCACAAGGTTGAACAAGAAAACTCCAGGACAAGAACACAGGGATTCCCAAACTATGTCACTGAAAACATAATTTAGATGTGCAGCCTGGAGATGCCTTTCTGGCTACTGTTACAACTAACTGAAAGTTTCAGAGGGCCAGTTTAGAGAGAGTGGGATAGAGGAAAAGTACATACTTAGCCTCAGCAATGGGTTATGCAGATCATTCTCCCTGAATGGCTGTAAAACCTCTGTGCAACAACAGCATGACATAGTTATGGCCCAGGTCTGTGCAGGCATTCTTTCAGATTGTGCTGCCACTGTTTTCCATCCCCCTCACTAAGAAGGGGCAACTTTTGAGTTTTCTGACAGAAAGAAAGCACAGCTACAGCACTTGAAGTCTCTAAATTAGCTGTCTCCATGTCATCCTCTCACACTGTGCAGTTTTAACATCCTGTGATGCATCAATGCTAAGAACAAATGCTGTATCTTGCTGGAAAAGGAAATGCATCCAGTGCAATGGGTTAAGACTTCAAATTCCTAGCCCAGAGGTTCTTAGGGTACCGATTTCCTTCTCAGCTCCAAGGAATTTGAAGGAAAAGAGAAAATTTCCACATTTCATGGAAGAAAACTCAGTTGTCTGAAAGATCTATATTTGTCTTCTGGTGTATTTTGAGGTGGTAAGGATGGTGTTAAAGAGCACCAGAGTACTGAATTTGCTCGGAATTTTGGGGTGTTCTGGTACATAAGACACAGGCTGAACACTTGGTGCCAAAACCTTCACTGCAGAAAAGGAGCCTGCCAGCCAGGGGATCCCAGCACAGAGCTAGAGTCACCTCTGCTAGCAGTTTGGTCCTGGATCAGACATACCAAACTGCAACAAGTAAAGGACATCAAAACCTCTTTGCCTGCCTGACTCACCCCCAGCTCCAAGACAGCTGGAGGAGATGGATGAGGAGCCAGAGCACAGGTGTGTTGGACAGTGTCATAAAATGAACCCAGTACATCCACACAGCTATTCCCAGTACCGAACACAACTAATGCTCAGTGGGAGCTCCCAAACCAAACATGGACCCAGCAGGTGAGTCACCACTGCATTCCAGGGCACTGGGGGCACTGGGCTGGCTCTGGATTGTCCTGATGCAATTCCACACTCCAGGGATCCCATCAGTTCCAACATTCCTCACCTGCCCAAAGGCTGCCCGAGCGTGCTCAAAGCCTCCCACTTGCAGACGTTTTTTGACCACGTCCAAAGGGTATGTCAGGGTTTTGCTGATGATTCCAGCACAGCTGCCACAAACAAGGTTTTTAACGTTGCCTGAGAGCAGAAAGGGAAGAGGAGGGAGGAAAAAAAATGAGGATTAGCAAGGAGTTGTGCTTAGAGATCACAGGAGGTAAGTTAAAAATCACTTGTCACAAGAAGTAAGGCCCTTTGAAGTGACATCACCTCTTCTGCACAGTTTGGGCCACAGAATCTCAGTCTGTAGTTTTTCAGTCTCACCATGGCCACTGGAGCCAGAGCCCAACAGCTCATCTTGGTCCATTACATGGTTTTGCTCTGCTCAGAAGAACCCAACCCCAGTCACCAGAGAACTTGCTGCTAATGGATGGAAAGGTTTTCATGCCCCCAGTAAAAGCCCCAGAGGAAATATTGCACTCCTGATTGCTCAGACTGACTTATTCTGGACCAGAATGCCACAAGTTTGACACTGCCTGATGATTTCAGAGGCTTGTGGGAAATGAGTTCTGTGATATTAAGACTTTTTCCTGACAAACATGAGTGCCCAGCACAAAACCACCATCAGCCTCTGCCATCTAAAAATAAACATGCAGACACGAAACTGAAAAGTCTAGTTCTTCTGCTGAAGAATTCCACTGAGGAACAAACCCACACTGATGCTGCACATGCTCTCTCAGGGAGGCACTGGGATCTGGAACTGTCAAGTTGCATCAGGATGAGGTTCTCTTGTAATGGTACCAGAAATCAACACAAAAACATCAAATCAAGAACTTGGCAGTTTTACATTAGGCTAAATGAAACCTCTTCTGTAAGAGCTGTGCTGGAATCCACAGGCAGATTTCCAAAGGAAATCCAATAGTCCTGTCCCCACAGCACTAACAAAACAGAGAAGGATTATGGCAGCAACATGACACAGCTGAAGAAAGAGCACTCTGGTCTGTGACATTTCAGTTTCCCATCTTGGTTATTCCATGACAGGAGTTGTTTGTAAACTCCACTGTGCTAACTTTGGCAATATCTGTGCAGGGGTAAGAATGAGAGGTGGGAAATCGAGATACTTTTCAGATGTTGCATCAAAAAGGGTGATAGAACTGAGAACTGAGCTTACATCAGTTGCCCAAACTACCATTCATCCTCTCTTCAGACCACAGACATCACTGTCCCAAGTGCCTACCTCCTTTCTTCCCTTCACCTGGAGTCACCCATTCTGAAAACTGCTGCAGGATGTTGTAGAAGAAGAACTGGAGACCAGCATATGGGAAGATGGCAACGAGTGTGGGGGTCAAACCTCTGTAGAAAGTCCGAGGCCCTTCCGTGTGGTACATGGTCACCACTGCATGGCGAAGGTTGTGATAGACCTAGATGAGAAGGGAATTCCTGACTCTGCAGGGAAAAAGGCTTAAGGACAGCACAGCAAAGGTCAGGCCATTTCCCAGCAGTGGGATAGGCATTCCCCACTGCCCAAAATACAACTGTTTTGAGCACAAAACAAGGAGCAAAGTGGTTGTGCACAGCCTCACACAGCACTCTCAGCTGAGCCCTGTGACTGTTACAAGGAACTGACAACCTGAGCTTAACTGAGCAAACAATCATCAGCTCTGAACTCACAGGCCTGGGCTGACACCATCCCACATCTGAGGGGAAGAAGCAAAGCACAGAGCTGAGTCCTGAGACCACTTACATCACAGGCATGAGAATTAATTTTTCTCTAAACAGCTCTGCTTATTCCTGCCACAGAATTCCTATCATGTATGTTGAGATTCTACTGCAGGCTGAGTAAAAACTAAGAAATGGCTCTGATACAGATCCATCTCAGTCTGGTTATTACAGACCTAATTAGCATGGAGCCAAATTCTTGTGTAAATAAGAACATGAAACATGGGTGAAAGGTGAGTGGTGTCAAGTATCATCCCCATCACTATCTAAACATGACTCTGCAAGTGGAAGGTTTCAAAAACACAGTGTTCCACAGCCTGGGGAGTGGTTCTATAAATGCCCAACAGCCAAAGTGGAAAATGAGTTATCCTGATAAGGACAGTTTCTCCTTTCTGGATCACCCGTCAGGAGTCAAACACAATCAGGAGCAGCAAAACATAATTAAGAAAGCTGTGTCAATAGCACAGGGGATGACTTGACAACAGTGCAAACACTGCCCACAGCAGCACCTGCTCCTCCTTACAAAACATAATTAAGAAAGCTGTGTCAACAGCACAGGGGATGACTTGGCAACAGTGCAAACACTGCACACAGCAGCACCTGCTCCTCCTTGCCTGATAAGGACAGTTTCTCCTTTCTGGATCACCCGTCAGGAGTCAAACACAATCAGGAGCAGCAAAACATAATTAAGAAAGCTGTGTCAATAGCACAGGGGATGACTTGACAACAGTGCAAACACTGCCCACAGCAGCACCTGCTCCTCCTTATGAACCCACAGGCTTCAAACCCGCACTCAGACACAGGAATATTGCCACTGCCAGGGATGAGCATGATCAGACTGAACCCTGATGCTTACCTTGGGCTCCCCCTGAGCAGCAAAGCGTGTGCGCAGCGTGTCCACAGGCTGGACAGCCACTGTGGCCGTGCAGGCAGCCAGGCCCCCACACAGCAGGTGCACCACCGAGTCGCGCGCGTTGTACGACGTGACGTTGTGCACCAGCTTGGTCAGACTTTCAAACGCCATGAACTGCCAGGAACACACACAGGGCTGGAAGTCAGTCCTCGGGACTCACTAGGATCTCCCACTCCTCTCTGGTTTCACCCAGAGCTCCACCCCCTGTTCCTAACCACCTTCCTGCTCTGTCCTTCAAAAGTCCTCCCCAACTCGCAAGGTGTTGAAATCACTTAGCAGCACAGGGAATGTCTGGGATATTCTGGCCTCTGACACTTCTGCTAAGTCTTGTATTTAGAACTGTGAAAAGCTCGTTTAAATGCTCTCTGTATCCTGAAGAGTATTTGCTGTGCCACAGATACAATAAAGACTTTTGAGACAGTGACATTTGCTATGTCACACATATACTGTCCATTACCCCTTCAACCACTGCTCATAAAACCATTTATATTTACAAATTAAGCCCAACAATGCTGTGTAAAACACCCTCACCAGCCTCACTGATTTTTCCCTAACAAGCCCTTAGGGTGACAACATGAACAAAATCAAAACACTGCCCAGGCTCAGGGCAAGAACAATTTAGCAAGCCGAGTGTCAGGAATAGACAGGGCTTGTCTGTGACACCAGAAACAGAGCTCAGTTTGCTCTAGCTGTGCTCCAGGGGACATGCTAGACATCCTGGGGACTGGCACTGCACAGACCTGTGCCTCCCTGCAGCTGCCCACCCAGAGCAGTGTCCTGTGTGTGTAGACTGAGCCCAGGGGATGTCAGGTCACCTTACCTGAACAGCTCCATAGCCAACTGAGAGGAACTGAGCAGGAACATGTCCCTTCCAGAAGGCCACTAAGCCTTCCTCCCGCAGGATGCGCTGCACAGCCTGCAGGATGCTGTGGTACTTGGCTGTGGGGTTTCTGGATGAGAG